GCAGTGAGCCAAAATCACGCCACTGCACTCCAGCCTGGGCAATAGACTGAGACTCTGTCCCCCACCAAAAAAAAAAAAAAAAAAAAAAACTAAGAAAGATTTTTAAATTACTACTTATTTACTTGTTATGGATGTATTGAGATTTTTCATTTCTTCTTGAGTCAGTTTTCCTAATTTGTGCCTTTCTGGGAATTTGCCCATTTCATCTAAATCAACTAATTTTCTCTCATAAAGTTATTCAAAATCCGAAGTTCTTTACAATACACAATCATTTTAGCTTCTACAGGATCAGCGGTAGCATCCAGTTTTGATAACTTCATTTCGTTTTGCTAACTCGCATCTCTCTCTCTTTCTCTCTGAGACAGGTTCTTACTCTGTCACCCAGGTTGGAGTGCAGTAGCATGATTACAGCTCACTGCGTCCTTGACCTCTCAAGTGATCCTCCCATTTCAGCCTCCCAAGTAGTTAGGAGTACAGGTATGTGCCACCATGTTCAGCTAATCATCTTAAAAATTCTTTTTGTAGACATGGGGTTTCATTACGTTACCCAGGCTGGTCTTGAATTTCTGGGCTGAGGTGATCTTCCTGCCTTGGCCTCCCGAAGTGCTTTGGTTACAGGCATGAGCCATCATGCCTGGCCTGTTTTCTCTTATTTTCTTGGCCAGACTAGCCAGAGGTTTGTCAATGTTGCTGATGTTTTCAAAGAATCAACATTAATCTACATTATTTTTCTGTTTTCTATTTCACTAATCTCCACATTAAACTTTATTATATCCTTCTTTCTGCTTACTCTGAATTTAGTTTGCCCTTTCTTTTTTCTAGTTTCTTAAGATGGAAGCATAAGTTATTGATTTGAGACCTTCATTTATTTCTGATATATGTGTTTACAGATATAGATTTCTCTTTGAGCACTACTTTAAGCTGTATCTATAAATTTTGATATGTCGTATTTCTGTTTCATTTGCTTAAAAATATTTTAATATCCATTGTAATTTCTTCTTTGACCCACAAACTATTTAGAAGTATATTTAATTTCCAAATAAATGGGGTTTTCTACATTTTTTCTGTTGTGAATTTCAAATTTAACTCTGCTATGGTCAGAGAACATACTTTATATGATTTCAGTCTTTTAAAACTTGGGGGTTGTTTTGACAACCAGCATACTATCTGTTGTGGAGAATATTCCATGTGCACTTGAGAAGAATGTATATTCTGAAATCAACTGGTGGAGTTTCACATACATTTCAGTTATGTCACTTGGTTGATAGTGCTGTTGAAGTCTTCTGTGTACTTCTATATTCATGCTTTTCTACTGAGTTGTTCTATCAACTGCTGAGAGCACAGTACTGAAATCTCCAGTTACTATTGTTAAATAATCTATTTTTCTTTTCTATTACTTGTTGCTTTGCGTACCCACTTCGGGGTGCTGTTTTAGGTGTATATGTATTTAGAACTGTTATATCTTCCTAGTGCATGAACACTTTGATCATTATTAAATGTCCCTATTTTTTTCTCTAGTAATATTTCCTATTATAAAGTCTATTTTGTCTGATTTTAATATAGCCACTATACCCAGCTGTCTTATGGTAACTGTCTGTGTGGTTCTTCCATCCTTTTACTTCCAGACTACTTGTGTCTTTTGCTCTAAGGTATGACTCTTACAGACAGCATATAGCTGTGTTTTGTTTTTTAAAAAAATCCAATCTGGCAAACTCTATTGTTTGTCGAGTATTTAGTCTGTTAGTATTTAATGTGATTACTGATATGGCTGCTAGCAACAAATCTCTTCATTTTCATTCATCTGGGAATGTTTTTATTTCTCTTTCACATTTGAAGAATAGCTCTGCTATATATCAAATCCTTGATTGACAGGTTTTTCCCCCAGCATGTTGAATGTGTCATTGCTTCCACTGTTTTTGATGCAAAATTAGCCACTAATTACACTGTTGTTCCCACATATATGTTGAATAATTTCCCTCTTGTGGCTTTCAAGATTTTCTCTTTTGTCTTTCAATAGTTTGATTATAATGTGTCTAGATCTCTTTTTCTTTATCTTACTTGGGACTCACTGAACTTCTTGAATCCGTAAATTAATATTTTTCAACCAACTGATTTCTTCAAATACTGTTCTAATCCTCTCTTCCCTTCCTCTGGGATTCATATTACATATGTATTGGTTGCTATATTTGGTATCTCACAGGTCTCTGAGGCTCTGTTCACATTTCTTCAATTAAAAAAAAACTTTTTTTTTAATTGAATTACTTCATTTGCTTTATATTCCAGTTCACTTATTCTTTCTTCTGCCATGTCAAATCTGCTGAGTCCCTCTAGAGCATTTTCAGTTCAGTTATTGTACTTTTACCTCCAGAATTTCCATTTGGTTCTTTCTTTTCCTTTCTGTAAATAATTTATATCCCTTTATTGAGGTTTTGTATTCACTGAGTCGTTTCGCTTCAATTCTTTAAACATGGTTTCCTTTTGATTTCTGAATAAATTTAAATAGCTGCTCTATAGCCTTTTTAGGCTAAATCCAACATCTGAGGACAGACACTCAGAGATAGTTCCCATTAACCACTTTTTTACTACACACAGATCATATTTTCCTTCTCTGAATGTTTCTCATGTTTCTGTTGAGTGCTAAACTTTTTACATAATATACGGTGGCATCTCTGAAATCTGACTTTCCCCACAAGATTTGTTGTTATTGTTGTTTTGCTTATTTAATAATTTTCCTGGACTAACTCTGTGAATGTGACGTCTGTCTCCCATGTAAGCTACAGCTGCTAAATGTCTTCACTCAAATTTTTGTCTTGTTTTTATTTTTAATCCTGGCTTCTAAGGGTCGTCCTCATGTCTGCATAGCTTAGTGTTCTGGCAAAGACTAGTCAGAGATTTTGCTCCAACACCTTGGGCCAGACTGGTTTCTCTCTGCTCCTGACTGTGTGTGTGGGCTGGGGAGTACATTCAAACCTCAGGCTGTTTTCACATCTGCCCTGGCTTTTAACTTCTGCTAGCTCTTTCACGGCTCCTGTGTGTGTGTATGCAGGCTCCACTGGCCAGGAATATGTGAGCCTGTTCCATCTCTACTGCTCATATACACAGACTAAGTTCAATCTGAGATACATAAAAAAATAGCAAGCCTCTGATAGCTGCCCCATCTCTCAGAACTACCTACTAAGTCCCCCAGTAGACCACAGGTCCCTTGCCTGTTCCAAAGAGGACTGTAAAGTCCAGCTAGTAAAGCTTCTGGCCTTTACATGTTCACGTACCACTGAGTTGGCCTATATAACAGTCCTCCAAACAGAGCGAACCCCTCCTGGAAGCAGCAGTAAGGCTGCTGGTTTTCCCAGCCTGCTTGAACTACCACATTGACAGAGCTTGGGAGGAGGGAATGGGAGTGATGATAGGCAAGAACAACACAGAGTCATTCTGCTCCTACCCAAAGGTTAGTAGTTTTCATGAACAAATGCTTCTCAGTTTATTGTATGTCTTTGGTGAATTTTTACAAAACTGAAATGGATGTTTTTGACAGTCTTCTTCCAGCTTTCTAGCTGTTTTTTGGGAAGAAGTTTCATCAACCTCCTTGCTCTGTCATGCTGGAAATCAGTATCTCAGCTGCTTTTTACATTCTGCTAGAATTGGAATCATTAATGCTATTAAAAAATAGACCATGTGGGCTGGGCACAGTGGCTCATGCCTGTAATCCCAGCACTTGGGGAGGCTGAGGCGTGTGGATCATTTGAGGTCAGGAGTTTGAGATCAGCCTGGCCAACATGGTGAAACCCTGTCTCTACTAAAAATACAAAAATCAGCTAGGCATGGTTACAATCCCAGCTACTTGGGAGACTGAGTCAGGAGAATAACTTGAGCCTGGGAGGCAGAGGTTGCAGTGAGCTGAGATTGTGCCACTGCACTCCAGTCTGGGCAACAGAGTGAGACCCTGTCTCAAAAAATAAAGATAAACAAAATAGACCATGTGGGTGAAAATACCATTAAAAATCTTATTTTCAAAGCAAAATGTTTGAGTTTTTTTCTGGAGAAAAATCAACCCGAAAAACACAAAGATGACTGAAAACCCAAGTTAAATAATGATTTCACTAAATTAAATTAATTAAGAAGCCTCATTCCTTAGAAGCAGCACCTAGGGTGCTACAACTTGCCTCTTTCACAGGCACTAGGAAAATGAAATGTGCCAATAGAAGAAGTGGCCCCACCACGTTTCATTAAGATTGGGCATCCCACAGCCACTTTCCCACTCCCTCTGTTTCTTTGTGGTTTCCCCACCACTTTAATCTTATGTTTCACCCATAGTCATTCAGATACACAGAGCTCGTTCTTAGAATAGTACCTTTTTTTTTTGAGACAGAGTCTTGCTCTGTCACCCAGGCTGGAATGCACTGGTGTGATCTTGGCTCACTGCAACCTCTGCCTCTGGGTTCAAGCGATTCTCCTGCCTCACCCTCTTGAACAGCTGAGACTACAGGCGTGTGTCACCATGCCCGGCTAATTTTTTGTATTTTTAGGAGAGATGGGAGTTTCACCGTGTTAGCCAGGATGGTCTTGATCTCCTAACCTTGTGATCTGCCCGCCTCAGTCTCCCAAAGTGCTGAGATTACAGGCGTGAGCCACCACGCCTGGTCCGAACAGTCGCTTTTCTAAGACTTCATAGAAATGCCCCAACCTGGCCATTTATCTATCTTCCTTTCTCTATCACCTTGGATCGACTGAAAGTCACTTGAGCTCTGGACACCTGCACAGCCTCCAGGAAGGAAATAAGGAGCCTAATCATGAAGGAGCCTTTCAGGACTGTGAAAAAAATAAAATATGCCATGTTGATAAAGGCCTCAGAAATCATTACCTGAATGAAGGAAGAATCAGACTCAGGGACAGTACCTAGAAATGGTCTCATGAAGCTCAAACAACTTCACATTACCCAGGCTCTGAGATCTCTGGATACATAGGCTCTTGAGAGAGAATTTCCCACCCCTCCCGTCTCTTACCTTAGCAAAGAAAATCCAGGCTGCACACTGTCCTGGAGCCAGAAGGCTTTTTAGCTTCACTGTACTGAACATGAGAAAGAATCCCAAAAATCCACTGGAAGGAGAAAAGATTCTTTCATTAGTGAGGCTTGTCTTCCTTTAGCCAATGGCTGACTAGTTTCTGCCATATTTCACTCATCAATTTCAAATTATTCTACAACCTCTACCTCATCTGTGTTTTCTACATCTGTAATCTCTAAATGAAAATATAAAAATTTAAAAAGTCATTAAGCTCTGCTTTTCTAAGGAGCTATGGTGAGAGAATTTCGTTGGTAGACAGGGTGGTGCAAAGAAATTTTGGAGGTCTCTGGCTAAATCATGAAAGAAAAAAAACGGTGGAGGACAACACCTCCTATTCCTTCCCATAGAAGTTGTGGTTTTGGTGCTTGGAAAAGTACAGCTTAAATTTTTTTCAAGCAAGGCAAACTGGCAGGAAAAGAATTCCAAAGGGAAATTTACCATATGAGAAGAGAGAGTCTGGACTAGCCTCCAGGCTCATAAGAATCTGAAGGTGAAGGCTAACTTCAGTGTCACATATGGCTAAGGCCAGAAGTCCCCCAAACCAGGCTGCCCTGCCACAGAGGTATGCTTTGGAAATTATGCCTACACATGTGTGTGAATGGAAAGATCTCCACTCACGGGAACCTGAGGAAGGAGCAGCATTTGGGGGCTATTCAGAAGTCGGGACCAACAAGGCAAGGGCACAGCAGTGGACAGAGATGTGGCTGCCTGTGCTGGAACTATTTTCAAAAGTGCCCTGCGTGGCCAGAGCCAAAGCAAAGGGAGCTCCAAATGCTTCCTGCCATTTGGAGGCAGGACAATTGGGGAAGAGGTGAGACAGAGAGAGAGAGTGAAAGAAAAAGAAAGAGACAGAGAGAGAGAAAGGCTGACTTCTTGCAAATATGTATAATTGTAGTTTCAGTATGACTTTTATTTGTACTTGAAAACTGCAAAGTAAGACATATAACTGCAACTGTAACTCCAAGCTAGACAGGCAGGTCCTGTGAGGCGTACTGCGTCTGCATCTCCAGACCCTCGATTGCCACTTTCCCATCTGACCTTATTATAGGCACTAGTGCGCAGCTCCAACACAGATCATAAGTTCTGAGCAGGAAAGACCCAGTTGTGGGCAGCTCTTTGTATTTTCAACAGAGCCTAACATGGTGCCTCAGTTACGGTACACATTAACTAAATGCTTGTCAGGTTCAATTGGAAGCAGGTTGAATTGAACTGAACATACCTAAGGCCAAATGTCACAGAAATGCATACCTTTGCTCCATTAGATTAGACTAGTTCATAGCCACATTCTTGGGGCAGGACTAAAGACGGGCATTAGGTTTCCCCGGTGTGTATTTCAGCCTGTTTGGCCCTGAAGACCTGCAAAGTTTGTTCCGATTTGCATCGGCAGTCATGGGAGACTGAACAGCTATGGATTAACATGTCAAGTTACTCACACCCAAAAGGTAAAGAGGCCCCGTGGGTAAGCAGCAGGCCTACCCAGTCCCACTGAGTGCCTGCATTTCTATTCCTTGCTGTGCTCACTGACCCTCGTCACCTTAACCAAATCCCCCTTTCCACCTTTTTCTTGTCTCAGGTTCAGCTTTTTTTTTTTTGAGACAGAGTCTCACTCTGTCACCAAGCTGGAGTGTTGTGGTGCGATCTTGGCTCACTGCAACCTCCGCCTCCCAGGTTCAAGCGATTCTCCTGCCTCAGGCTCCCAAGTAGTTGAGACTACAGGTGTGTGCTACCATGCTGGGCTCATTTTTGTATTTTAGAGACAGGGTTTCACTGTGTTAGCCAAAATGGTCTCCATCTCCTGACCTTGTGATCCGCCCACCTCAGTCTCCCAAAGTGCTGGGATTACAAGGTTCAGTTTGCTTAAAGTAGAAATAATCATAGCAGTCCTCATCCTATCTTAATGGAAACCAGAGGCTTTTAGAACAGTAAGATTACCTAGCCCCAAAGTCTTACTTTACTAACAATGAAACTGGGGCACTGGTACAATTAGAATCCTGGTCTCCATGGCTCTTCAGATCTCTGGACCAGCAAGGGCGCTGGCACAGCAATGGACAGATGTAGTCGCCATGCTGGAACTCTTCTCAAAAGGGCCACTGTGTGGCCAGGGCCAAAGCAAAGAGAGCTCCAACTCTTCCTGGTATTTGGAGGCAGCACAACTGGGGAAGAGGCGAGGCTACATGGAAATGTTCTTGACCAGCTAGACAAAGAGTGAGATGTGCCAGGCGCTGGTGGTCATGAGGGTAGGGCTGAAAAGGGAGGTAGCCAGTGCTCCAGGCTCCTTTTGCTGGCTCCCACCTCTGCATCCAAGGAGGTAACAACTTCACAGGTGCCGGCCCAACCTCTCAGACTTCGTTTCCCTCGAGTTTTTCCCTCTCCTCCCTGCCTCTAGCCACAGGAGTAGCATGATTCCATGTTGACCTGTCCTCTCAGTGCAGACTCTGGGCCAGGATAAGATCGTGCAGGTTTGTGACTGACAGGCTGGTGGAAGGATCTGGGACTCTTTCCCAACGCTTGACTTGTATGTCTGTGACTCATTTTTACATTACTCATGGATCTCTTATCTTTCTCTGTGCACTTTCAGCTCATCTACCCCTTGCTAGGGAGGCAGATCTGAAAAGCAGAGGGAGGTTCTCTGAAGTGAAGGAGTCTGGGAATAGGAGACTCCAGTTAATGGGGTCTTTGGGCTATGGCTACCATGCCACCCTGAGCTCCCCCAGAACCTCCCGAAAGTGACAATGCTCAGTCTGAGATATGGTGGAACCTCTGAAATGACACAGGGAAAATCGATGCATCCCTCAAAGACACTGAGCTCTGTAGAGAAGCATGGGTAAAATGTAACAGAGTCAAATCAATTCAAATAGAGATTTCCAGATCTTTAGAATAAAAAAAAGAAACACCCGATTTATCATGTTGCATTCTGGGAAAGTTGCAGATTAAAAGGGGCAGAAATAGAGCCCAATTGTCACCCCACAAAGCCGACATCAATGGGCTATGAACTGTGCTGCTCTGTTCTAAATAACCAAACAATGGCTGACCCTGCTTGCCCATGCTGCCAAATAACCAGATTTAAAGGGAAACAAGTCCGCAGCCACCCGCCCAACACGAAGACTCACATCATGTGATTCCAGCTAATGGGCAAGGACTAATCAATTGACAGGAACTGGGAAAGTGAATTGTATCAGTGTTTTCCTGAATCTTTTCTAAGGTGATAAATAAATCATTCTGAGGCTCAAATGCAGAAAAAAACTCTGTAATATTGATTCTTTTTCTTTTTTCTTTTGGCCTGAACACAGCAGAGCAACAGGACATATCCACCAGCCACACAGCAGCTTTTTAACATTGTAAAGAGTCACTGCTTCACAAGGCACTGTTTTATTTGTGTGCGAACAGGCAACCTGACTTTTACATAGCAATTCTTCACGGTCTATTGACATGACATTTACAATCAACCCAAGTAGATAATCATAATAGTCACCATTTATTGGGCCAGGCACAAAGCTTAGGACCCAAAGATCACACATGCTGCCAAATTAGCAACAGCAATTGTGGGGTTCAACCCAGGCTGGTCTTTCTACTGTATCAGAATACCACACATGCTTTGGGCCTATCCACAGAAGCCTTTCCACTTCTCAGCATGCTGAGGTCAAGCAGAGAGGGCGAGGACACACTTCTGTGTGTTCGGATGCAGCCCTCTAACTGGCCTATATCCCTGAGTCCTTCCCAAGTCCAAGCACTAATGATCACCTTGTTGTCTAGACATCTCCTAGTCATCAGTTTCCAAAATCTATTTCTCAGAGTCTTCAGGTTTGGTGGAGGTTATTTTGGAGGTTGCCTTGAAGAGCAAGAAAGAGGCCAAAGTAAAAGCTGAGCAGGTGGGATTCTGAACCTAAATCTTCCTTTGAACTTGATCCACTTCATCAGTTTTATATATTGCAATTCTATGTGAGACTTGCTTGTGGAGGGGGAAAAAAGTGGGAGAATCCTTAGTCTTCAGCAAAGTGTGAAAACCACTTTGCTGGTTTTCACTGTCTTGGGGGAGGCACTTCCATGGGCCCAAGCTGGCCCTGAGCATCTGGGGGGCTAGCCTGCTGGTGACGCAGTGACTGCTTCCTCACCTGCACCCACCACCACTCTCTTCTGCCACTCACTCAAGTCACCAGCAGTGACCCTGAACTTCACAGAGAGGAAGACACAGAAAGCATTCAGATGAATGAGCTTAAGATTACCTGGCACAGCAGCTGCCATGGAATCTGTAGAAGTACAGGAATGGGAAGTCCAGGACGCTGAAGAGATCACCTGAGGGGCAAAGCAATGGTGAAACAGTGACCCATGCGGCCTCACATGCCCCTCTGCCCCCTGCCATCCCAGGAAATGCAAGGAAGGGGTCTTTAGCAGGCCTGTTTTTTCAGTCACCTGGCGTTAAATTCACTCTGACATCCCCAGGGATTCTGTTACTGACATTGTCTTATCATGATAACAACAGTATGATGATGATAATGCCCATTTAGTGAGAGCATGCCTTGTGCAGGGCCCAACACTAAAATCTTTATGTCTCTTTCAATCTTAGTAACAACTCTGTGAGGTTTTATTATGTCCATTTAAACTGGGGCTCAGGGAAGTTAAGAAACATGGCTAAAATTGTGCAACTCTTAAACTATGGAGCCAGAATGTGAACTCCAGTCAATTTAAACCTTAGGCTGTCTCCTACTAGGCAGCCAACCCTCCACAAGAGAGTGTGCAGGATAAAATAATCTTTTTCAAGAGTCTTTTCTTCTTTTCTGCCTTATATCTAAAAAAAAGGTCATGAAGGCACTGCCCTGACATTTTTTTTTCATTTTCATGTTTAATGACTGCAAGAACAGCACGGGGGCCAGACCAACTGTGCAAATTCATTTTAGTTGGAGGTCCAAAGGGTACATTGATTTCCTGTGAAGTAAGTTCATTCTTTTAGTTCCACTTGGTGCAAGAGGAAATAATCACACATACTGGCTGCTTCTCTCTCTGGAATTTGAACTTGGTCACAAACAAGAAGTCAGGAGATTAAAAAAGCAGAAAGTCTTCCAAAAATGTCCAGAGAAAAGGAATGAAGCATTTCCACGGCAGATAGCTTGAGCCTTCCAAATCTGAAATTTCTGAATCCCTTGGAGAGCCCTGTCTTCCAGACCCCTGGACCTTGGCCTGTCTCTCAGTTCTGGGGGCTGGGGAAGGGGGCTGATTTTCCTAAGTATTGCTAGTATGTTAGGTGTGCAGTGGAACACACAGGCAGCGTTTCCTTCACCATTATGCTATTATTCAAGAGTTTCAGATCAAAAGGTACAATGGGCTCCTACGCTTTCTTGGAGACCCAAAGGATCTCAAATGATTCAACTATCGATTGGGAAGGAAAGTTCTGAGTTCGATTTCTCTGGAGGGCTTTTTAAAGTTATGACTGTCATTTTCTTTGTTTTGTTTCTGCAAGTGAGTGTGTGTTTAACTATAAGGAGGGGATTTCTTGGGATCTGGTTTTCATGAAGCACAACAAGAGTTCTTGTTCTCTTTTAGCCACGATTTCTCTAAATACCCCTACTGTCAAATTGGGACCTGTGTTGGTAGAGGGAATTTGTCAGTGACAACATCAGTTGTCATTTACAATGAGAAGAGCATGGATATATTCTAAAGTTCCTTTTCACACGGAAGGGATAGGCAAGGGTGCGCTGGGGACCCCAGACCGAGAGCGGCCAGAGCCCTCCATTCAGGCAGGTGGAGGGAGAGTCTGTCCACATCCATGGAGAATTTGTTCCGTCTCTTTGGCAGTTGTGGGCTCTTGGCCCTTTCCCAATTTTCCTCTCAGGGTAAGAGGAACTGCAGCACAGCCAGTGTGGTCATGAGGAACGGCCGAGAGGGGGACAAATGAAACCCAGGACCTTGAGGCCCCTCAGGCTGCGGCCCTCCCAGTACCCCATCTTTCATCAGAAACGCTCCAGCAAGGTAAATGGGACTCACAGGGCATGGCAGATTTCCTAGCAAAGCCCACGTTTTGGAGGGGTTCTAAAGAGCAGAAGTGTGGTCAGAGAAGACTGGGAGGGAGGAAAAGAAAGAAAAAAAACCACTGTCCTCAGGAAATAATAACCCCCACCCAAATCCTGAAAACTGACCCCATAAATTAATGACAGAGAGAAAATAAGGGAGTAGCTAGTCCTTACCTTTGAACCATTTCTAAAACCGTCACACCTGGATCACACAGCGCTTAACTGACTTCACACCTGTTCTTCCTCCTAGAATTATCGAGTCCTTGAGAGGTGGAATGCTATTTTACTCATCCCTGTACCCACTGTGTGCAAGCACCATACCCAACATACCCAGCACACAGCCAGCACTACCAAATCAAGAGTGTTGGAAAGACTTGATCATCTCCTGCCTTCCCTAGAGCGAATGAATGTTCTAGTTTCCAGCTGGCCCTGTGGTCCTCAATTTCAAGCTGACCTCAAATAGTCCCCTTTGATGCCTTCCACCTGTCTTCTCTTTTGCTAAGTAGTACTCCTAAGCAGAGAGGGTGCACAGCAACCCCGGAACAGGAAATGTTAGTGACTGTGTTATAAATACCCCCGGAAGAGGTTGCAACGTGTGGCTGGCTGGCCTCAGCCACATGCAAACTCAATCCAGAAGCCTAAAAAATTGCTGCAAGACAACACTCCTGCACCATCTAGTGCTGAACTACACAGCTTAAGCTCAAATCGAGTGGCTAAAGAGTTGTAAACATGTTTTGCTACAGCAACATGCGGCTTACGCAATGGAGTCTGAGTTGGACCCTCACTCTTGTATTCTGCAGTTAAAATTCTGCTGACTCTGAGTGAGCGAGTGAATCCCATTTCTCTAAGGATTACGAAGCATGAAACTGCCACGGTGAAAAGTGTGGCATGATACAACCACATTCGAGACTGATATTTGAATATGAGGAAAATTTCCTCTCATGTTCCCACCCTCAAAACTGGCAGCAAAACAGGGGATCGGTTCCAAGTAGTGATTACTGCTGCCTGCTCGGTCTCACACATGAGCGACAGACACACCAGGTAACAAGGTTGTTTCTGGGTCAGGTTCCTCAGTCTCCCCGTTCCTCTCCCGTTCCCTGAAATTTCCTAGAGCTCTCTTGAACACCACAGCTAAGGGGCCCCATACAAATAGGAAGTGTAAACTCTTCAACAGGGGAAATTTTCTGTTGTCTACTGTACTTAAAAGAGTGCAAGGGGAAAGGTGGTCCTCTTCTCAAGGAAGGTTATGAGATTCTTGGAGCCTTGACATGAATCGTAAAGTCAAAAGGCTAAAGGGAGGTGGGTTCCACCCATCAAGCAGCAAACTCTGTGGTGGGGCACGCTGAGGGCACGTGGAACCGTCGGCCTGAGTCCCACCACCGTTGCCCACGTGCTCCAAAGGTGCATCTGTAAGAGAGCCCCTCTTTCCAATCAGGAGAGTGTGAGGAGAGAAACACAGTCAAAAGCACTATCCAGAAGCCCTCACACACCCTCTAGAAGAGTTCAGATAGGACTGACAACGTTCATGCTGGTGAGGATGTGGAGCAACTGGAACTCTCACACACTGCTGGGTGGGAGTGGAAAATGGTGCAAACGTTTTAGAAAAAACCCTTTCTTAGAAAGTGAAACATACATCTACTCTAAGACCCAGAAATCCTATTCTGAAGTATTCATCCAAGAGACATGAAAATGTAAGTCCACAGAAAGGCTGGTATGAGAATGTTCAGAGCAGGCACAAGCTGGGAACAGCCCAGGTGAGCATCAGCAGGTAAACAGATATAAACATGGTATATCCATACAATGGAACCCTACTCAGCAACCAAAAGGAACAAACTCACGAAACACACAGCAACATGAATGAATCTCTAGACGTTGTGCTGCATGTAACAGCCAGACACAAAAAGTACTGATGATTCCATTTATAAGGGCTTGAGAATAGACAGAACTTATCTATGGTAACAGACATAAGATCTGTAAAGGCCTTCACGGTGTAGAGAGGGAGTGACTAGGAAGGGGCAGGAGGAAGCTTTCTGCAGTGACAGAAATGTTCTGCATCTTGTGGGGTAAAAGTTACGCAGGTCCGTAGATTTGCCAAAATCGATTGAGCTATACAGTAAATTATGTATCAATTTAAAAATGTTTTCAAAGTACTATCAAATAACTACTTTTGCAGGTAATAAAAGAAGGGCATGGGGTGTGGTGGCTCAAGCCTGTAATTCTAGCACTTTGAGAGGCCAACACGGGTGGATCACTTGAGGTTAGGAGTTCAAATCCAGCCTGAACAACATGGTGAAACCCCATCTCTACTAAAAATACAAAAATTAGCTGGTGTGGTGATGGGCACCTGTAATCCTAGCTGCTCAGGAGGGTGAGGCAGGAGAATCACTTGAACCCAGGAGGCGGAGGTTACAGTGAGCACATATCACGCCACTGCACTCCAGCCTGGACAACTTACTGATACTCTGCCTCAAAAAAAAAAAAAAAAAAAAGAAAAAAGAAAAAGAAAAAGAAGGGGTAAGAAGAAACCAAAAAGAATTGAGCCCAGCTGTAAAATGTCTGAAAGTATGAACAGATCCTTCCAAGAAGACTGTCCCTATGGAGCCTGACTCTGTGTCTTAACTGGGGCAGTGGGGAACCAGGAAGACAGCTCGCCCCAACCCACACTCAGGCCCTGCGGCAGATGGTCTAGATGGCAAGTGTAACAAGCAAGTGAGAAAGAATAAAGTGCTGTCCTACCTTGCAATGGGCTAGACACCATGGGTCCAATCAGAAAGCTAGTGAATGAACTGGCAGGAATTGGAGCCACCCTTTAAGAGTTGCCCTGCTCCCTTACAGCAAGGGAGCCCACAGTCACTTCTGCTGCTGACACAGCCAGTGCCACGGCCCGGAAGAACCTTTCTTATAAGCCTGACTTTCTGTACCTGGCCTCTGCAATGACACCACCTCAGCTAGCAGGAAATGGCAACAAATCAAAGTAGCAGACAAGAGTCTTGGGACACTGGGTTGCCCACCGCAGACCCATCCCCCAGCCTGCAGGAGAGGGCAGGGAAGGTGAACAGCTATGTCCATTCTTTTTCAAAGATCATGAAAATATAACTTGAAGAAAAATTAATCCATGCAAGTATTATGGCATATTTAGCCTCCAAACAGGTTTTCAAATGAGAGAGATGTCCTTGTATTCCCCCAATATATCTTCTTATTGAGATATAATTTGCATATTATAAAACTCACCCTTTTAAAGTGAACACTTCAGTGGTTTTTAGTATATTCATAGAGTTGTGCAACCATCACCACTACCTAATTCCAGAACATTTTCATTACCTCAAGAAGAAACTGAAGCCTATTTTAACTTACTCCTTTGCCCAGGACATTCTACAGTCTTATACTTCTGACCACTTTGTATTGCCAGAGAGTAATTAAGTGTCCAAGGTATTTATGTATTGACCTAAAAGTTTAGCAGTAACTCAAGGAAAACATTAGACTGTTGGCCAAAAGGTCTGAGCTATTACCAGCAGTCACCATGTTCAGAAACGCATCTCCCAAACCAAAAGCAGTTCCAAACAGAAAGTTAAGAACACTGTACAAAAGCTTTCACTGGAGTAGGACAATTTATAATAAAGTGTAGGGGGCCAGGTGCGGTGGCTCACACCTGTAATCCCAGCAGTTTGAGAGGCTGAGGCAGGTGGATCACCTGAGGTCAGGTGTTTGAGACCAGCCTGCCAGCATGATGAAACCCCGTGTCTACTAAAATTTCAAAAATTAGCCAGGCATAGTGGCAAGTGCCTGTAATCCCAGCTACTCAAAAGGCTGAGGAAGGAGAATCACTTGAACACGGGAGGCAGATGTTAAAGTGAGCCAAGATCGCAATAGAGCAAGACTCCGTCTCAAAAATAATAACAATAAAGTGTCCGATCACTTTATTGCTACATGTTAATGAAGTGTAGGATCAAAGAGCAGCATTGAAAAAGGCAAACCTAGAAAGAGCGTCAGGAGACCTATCCGCAGTCTCCCTCTGCTCCTCACCTACCCTGTATCATCTTGGTGACATCACTTAACCCCTCAGGGTTTCAGTCTCCACATTTGTATTAGGTTGGTGCACAAGTAATTAATACAATTTGGTGGCACCTGGGATAACTGCTAAGATTCCTTTCAGCTCTGACCGTCATAAGTGTAACAAATGAACAAGCACAACCTCTTAGCGGAAGGGCAGTGTGATTTCTTTAGGTAAAAATTATTCACCCAGACAGGCATCACAGTTCACGCTTATTATCCCTGCACTTTGGGAGGCCGAGGCGGGCAGATCACTTGAGATCAGGAGTTCGAGACCGCCTGTCTAACATGGTGAAACCCCGTCTCTACTAAAAATGCAAAACTTAGCCAGGCGTGGTAGCAGGTGCCTATAATCCAAGCTACTCAGGAGGCTGAGGCAGAAGAATCGTTTGAACCTGGGAGGCAGAGGTTGCAGTGAGCTGAGATATACCACTGCACTCCAGCCTGGACAACAGAGCAAGACTCCATCCTAAAAAAAAAATTATTCACTCAAGTCCACTAGAAATAAGTCCGGACGTAGACGTTTATGTAAACCAAAGAGAATCTGTGAACATAACCTTCCAAAGGCCTTTGACAAAAGCACAATTCAAAAGGCAGGGTACTCAGTAGGCTCTAAAATGTCTGCTGGGTGGCAGTGGCCTGGCTGCATAAAGAAATGATAGGAGACGCAACTGAAAGGCAGACAGCCAGCGGAAGGGGTAAACGGAACCCGCTTAGGGTTAACAGCCTGGCTTCACAGGACTTACTATTCTAAGGATAGACTTGGAGCAAATGACAGCAGAGGGGGGACTCAACAGTAAACATCGGAGTTTTGAGAAGTCATCATCCACAGGAGCAGGCAGACAGCAGGGACTGTGCTTTCATATGGCAAGCGGAATGTAATGTTTTAAGAAAAAAGTATTCAAGTTATCCTTATGAGACATGGATTCAGATATGTCTCATACAGTCTAGAAACATTATTCTTGATTCACTATCAACAACTCCCTAAGGATCCTCATTCAGATAGCAGGTAAAACACCAACAGAAAGAAGCAGCTAAAAACACCAATAGAAAGCTGTTATTGCTTTGAGCACAGGATGAGAGCTAGGAGGGACCTTAGAGAGCAGCCAGTTCACCGTTCTCATTTTCTAGATGTGAAAACTGGGACGTAGAGGGCTTGGGTAATGCCTTCTGCATAGCAAGTGGTCAGTAAACATTCATTTTGTGGTTTGTTTGAAAAAAAAAATTATTTTAAGCCCACTCAGTAGGGGAGCCAAGAAAAATTCCAATTATTCTGAGTCTATTATTTGTACCACACTCCATGAAGCCACAAAGAGAATGACCAATAGAACGTGTATTTTCAGCCATGCCACACACAGACATTATTGTTTTATCTTTTTGGTGGGGATAGAGTCACGGAGTCTCACACTGTCACCCAGGCTGGAGAGCAATGGTGCAACCTCAGCTCACTGCAACCTCCGCCTCCTGGATTCAAGAGATGCTCCTGCCTCAGCCTCCGAAGTAGCTGGGATTACAGGTGTCTGCCACCATGCCCAGCTGATTTTTTTGTTTGTTTAGTAGAGATGGGGTTTCACCATGATGGTCAAGCTGGTCTCGAACTCCTAACCTCAGGTGATCCACCCACCCCAGCCTCTCAAAGTGCTGAAATTACAGGCATGAGCCACCATGACCGGCCTTGTTTTATCTTTTGGCATCAAAGCCAAAAACTGTGATGAAATAGGGTCTTGTGTGCAATTCCTAAATCTGAAAAGCAACTACAGAGCAATTGAGGCAGCAATAGAGTGAATATACATTTTAAAAATTGACTTCTTTCATCTGCATTTATGAGACTCATGGTGACACATGATACAAGGAGTTCAAGACCAGTCTGACCAGTATGGTGAAACCCCATCTCTACTAAAAATACAAAAATTAGCCAAGCGTGGTGGCGCATGCCTGTAGTCCCAGCTACTCAGGAGGCTGAGGCAGAGGTTGTAGTGAGCCGAGATCGTGCCACTGCACTCCAGCCTGGGCTAGAGTGAGACTCCATCTCAAAATGAATGAATGAATGAATGAAATGAAGAACAGTTCAGGATGCCTGGAAAAGGAATTTCAGAAGAGGGCAAAATAAGCACTAGGTTACTCAGGAGGAAATGGACCTGTCTATATATCTGAGATCATACCGGAAGAAAACAGACAAGAAGAAGGGGTAAGAATAAATTCCTAGGTGATAAATTGTTTTATTAAGGGCAGTTTAAAAACAGGTGGGACTTTCCTCCCCCTTGCAGTCACCCCTGGCAGGGCGACAACATTCTCTTGTGAAATGTCTCCGAGAGACAGGCTCACCGGGTCCAATAAGCAACGTCAGACAGACAAACAGAACAACACTCAGGTGGCGTTTACCTGTGGGATGAGATGCAAATGCCAGGAGCACCACACTGGAAAAGAGACAGCAAAGTAATCAAGAAGGTTCCCTGGCACCAAAAAAACCCATCCATTCCCAACCATTTACTTGAAAATAGCTAAAATTGCCTAAAAGCAAATTATCTGCGCTGACTCATTCTGCCTAAATCCAGCTCCAAGGAAAGAGTAAGAATGTCTTGAAATGTCTCATGTTTTGGCAAGAGGACTGCCTCCTGGGACAGGCTTGGGACAGAGTGTGAATCCATATCTCAACCTGAGGGTGCGCTGGGTCTCTTTTCTTGGTCCTGGCTGACTCTAATTCCGATCATACTCACCTACTCTACCAAGAGTATTTATAAGCTAAACAAAGCAAATTCCAAATTAAAATGGGTTGCAATGTAAAAGCTAGCTATTGTGTGTGAGCTACATATATTTTTGCCACACAATTAGCTGTGTAGAAGATAGCTAAATTTCCAAGAGGCTAGCCCACAACTGATCCAGCCCATCCACCATGTGGCTAAAAACTACCTTTACGTAGTTTCAATAGATGCCACAGAGGGGAAAGGATGAAAAGAGAATCAAGAGGAGTGTTCCTCTGATATGAGCCTCATTCATCCTTGGCACCCTCCCATCGCCCTCTCTAGAAACCCCTCCCATTCCCCTGCACCCCTATGCAGTGCCTTCACGAGGCCAAACCCCACTTGGGGAGCTCCCCACCCTCTGCAACCTCTTCTATCAAAACTCTTGCCACCCAGGCAGCCAATCAAGTTAGAGGTTAGGAATAAAACATGTTATCTACATATGGGAGGGAATTTTTTACAGTGCTGGATGGCCTGCTCTGGTTCTAAATCCTGGCTGCATATCAGAATAGCCCAGCATCCTGGCGGAAGTCAGAATCTCTGAGGAGCAGGCATCAGTTGTTTTATTTTTGTTATGCCCCCCAGTGGCTCTAAAGTGCACCAGGATTGAGAACCACCACAAGGAATCCCCAGCTGGTGGTGACATCCCAGACAGTGTGGAGGAAGATGGCTGTGAGCACAGAAGCCACTGGGAGCCTCGCCTGCTCTGAGGGTTATCTCCCAGTGCCATTTCTGTGTTTGTTGTGCCCTTCCTTTGCTCTTCCTATAAAGCTCAGGTTCTCTGATGGCCCCAGGGCAGCAGCAGAGTGGCTAGCAGAGGCTAGACAGGGGGTTTGGGAGAAAGCCAATGGGAAGAGTCATGCGTCCAGTCATTGAGAAGCTGTAGGTTAGTAAGACAGAGCTGCATGTAGCTATAAACGAGACTGGAGACTTCACAATGATTAGCCCTTTGCATGGACTCTTTATGTCTTTGCTTGTCATCTCGGCTTTCTTTGGAAAATATATACCCTGTACATACTCCATTATTTTACCTCCCTGAATCCCTTTGTGGTTATAACTTCAGGAGCAGAAGTGATCATTCTTATGGCAGGATACGAGGGGCCTCTTGCCATCCCAAAACACCTCCCAGAGCCTGTCATATACACCAAATCCCATCATCAGAATCACTCCAAAGGGTAACCTCAAATAAAAGATTACGAGGTAACTATAAGAAATAATTAAGTGAAGGAGCTGATCCTTTAATCCTTGTTTGAATTTTGCAAATATATTGTTAAGCCACTCCTAACTCCTACCAAAGCAGGCCATTCAGCACTTGGAAAAAAAATTCCCTCCAATACTTAGATAATGTGTTTTATTCCTAACCTCTAACTCGATAGGCCGCCTGGATGGCATGAGTTTTGATAGAGAGGTTGCAGAGGGTGAGGGACTGGGTCCCCCACAGCAGGGTTCAGCAGTGTGAAGGCACGGCAGAGGGGTGCTGGGGGACGGGAGGGGTTTCCAGAGAGGGCAATGGGAGGGTGTCAAGGATGAATGGGGCTCACATAAAAGAAAACTCCTCTTCATTCTCTTTTCATCCTTTCCCCTTTGTGGCAGGCTACACTGCGACCTCCTTGAGGGCAAGGACCATATTTTATTCATATTTGGATCCCTAGCAGTGCCAGGCATCAAGTGGCAGGTTCTCAGTAAGTTTTCTGAACTGGAATTAATCACCTTTAGGTGTACTGTGATGGTACTATGTTTGTTTGTAGAAAAACGTAACTTGAAGCCCTATAAGCTCTTTTTTTTTTTTTGAGGCAAGATCTCCCTCTGTCGCCTAGACTGGAGTGCAGTGGCATGATCATAACTCACTGTAAGCTTCAACTCAGGGGCTCAAGTGATCCTCCTGCCTCAGCCTCTCAATGTGGAAACCCCTTATAGTTCTAAGATTATAAATTACATGTAAATTATAATGAAGAAATTATACTAATATAAAAGAGGCATATCATGCTGTTCTAGTAAGCAGGCTCATTCTCTGCTTGGCTTGGGATAAGGGTACAAACAGAAGTCCACATACCATATTTAAAAGTTATGAATCAAGCCTCAAACATCATCCTACCTTAACAAATATACCTTCAAAACAACCTGAAAGTCTAGATGAAAATGTAGAATTCTTGGGCTCCCTGGTGCTGCATGTCAGAGCGTAGCAGCCCAGGGCAGCCTCTGACTCCTGGTTGCCAGTGGCCCCCTTTTCTTTTCATCCCAGGGTCCAACCTGCAGCCCCAGGGCCTAACACATGTGTGTGGATACCTGAGCCTGCAAGGTCACCTCCACCTCCATGCCTTCCCACTGGCAGCCTCTCTTTGGACACCCCTTGGGCTTGGGAATGAGTTGGGAAGACAGACCAGGAATCGAGCTCAGGGACACAGGTGGGGGATTCAAGGACACATCCAAAAGCAAGAAACGTCCCTTAGTCTCACAGATGCCACACCCAGGAGGAGGTCGTGGCCCTCTGAATTTCAGGGCCTGAGAGAGGCCCCTCTTGCTTGGTCTAAAGGCAGGACTACCATTTGGTTTCCTCAACTCTAGTCATCTCACAAATTTCATAACTTGTCTTCCTGGCAGGCACATTGGCTCAGAACTCTTCAATCAAAATAATATTGAAAAATAAGAATCCATTAGCCCTAAAAGGATATGAATGGCTCTTTAAAAATGTAAATTAATTTTACCTGAATATATAGTTTAAGTATTGTTGGTCAATATCACTATGGAACGAGAGAGGAAAAAAAGTTAAATGAAATAGCAGAACTATTCTAAATACATAAAATAATCATTACCTTCTATAAATAAATCTGATTTTAGTTACTTCTTTTGTAAATTATCCATAAATAGAAGGAAATGTATTTAATATTCAAAACCAGTTCCTAGTTCATTTAAAATCACATATATTTTCACCTGTGGGCAAATGTTTCCCATGTGTACATCTGTCACTTTCAAAGTAGTGTCAACTATCTTAGGCCACTGGACTAGCTTCTGGGGCTACCATATTTAACAAGCAAAAATACAGGGCAATCAAAGACATTTGAACTTCAGATAAAAAGTAACGTTTTAGTGTAAGTACTGTATGTTCTGAATATTACAAAAATTATTCGAGGCTTATCTGAAATTCAAATGCAACCAGGCATCCTGTATTTCACCTGGCAACTCTACTGGCTTCTTGCTACAAAAACACTTTATTAAAAGAACAAAAGGTGCTCCAGGGAGTGAAAGCCCCACGTTCTCAAAGTGGATGACCTTCTCTCAGGAGTCACTGCCTTCGGATCTTCTCTCTTTAGGCCTTCAGCAGGCCTCAAAACCCAGAGGCCAGCTGGCCCGTCTAGGGGCACTGGCCTCGTCGCTCCAGGCCTGAAGTTATATCTTTTTTTGTTTACATTCACCAAGGCTGCTCCATTGACTGCCTGCAACAAAGGCCTCATTTTACCCAAGAACGGAGCCAGTAAGTGGAGAGACTTCTGGGTCTAAAGTTAGAACGGGGCTGGGGAAACAAGAAAAAGTACTGTCCCTCTATGCTAGATGTAGCTGATTGGCACCCAAAGCAGCTGACCATATACATTTCATTTAATGTCATCTAAGTGCTGCCCCTGAAGGAAGGAGACTGAGACTTCCATGCCTCTTCACACACGGCTAAAGGCAGACACGTTCCAGGTGTTGGTGGACCCAGCCTGGAGTGGCCCAAACAGCAAGAAGAGGGACAGCTTCAAGGGCTAAGTCCCCTGCCCTTGCCACAACCGAGGCCTGCAGAGTCTCTGGCTGAATGGAAAAATCTCACGATACCAAAAGTCTTATCCCTTTCCTTTAACCCAATCACAACTCACCAAACATTAAGAGTTTACCTCGGCTGGGTGCGTCGGCTCATGCCTGTAATCCCAACACTTTGGGAGGCCGAGGTGGGCGGATCATCTGAGGTCGGGAGTTCAAGACCAGCCTGACCAACATTAGATAAACCCCATCTCCACTAAAAATACAAAATTTGCCGGGCATGGTGGTGCATGCGTATAATCCAAGCTTCTCGGGAGGCTGAAGCAGGAGAATCACTCGAACCCAGGAGGCGGAGGTTACAGTGAGCCGAGATTGTGTCATTGCACTCCAGCCTGGGCAACAAGAGTGAAACTCCATCCCAAAAAAAAAAAGGAGTTTACCTTAATGCACTGGGTTTCTGAAACTTCTGTAGTATTTTATAAGCCCCTGAAAATGAAATAAAACATGTCACTGGTCATGGCATTCTGCTCAAGGAGCTCCTGGCATGTCCAGGGAAACAGAAAATCTGCATGGATAAAGGCCCACAAAGGCATGACTGCTGGTCCTTTTCCCTACGAGGGACACACCCAGCTGACAGAAGACCATCAACATTTGGAAGGTTTCGAGGGTGCAAATGCAATAATCCTCTATGATAACGCAGTCCCTCCTTCCAGTGGTGCCCAGAGTGCTGGGCATGGAAAGCGTCTGATCAATGAAGGACACCATTAACAGGAAGGTTTCACTTCCTTGACATGACGCACGTGAAAAAAGAAACACTGCTGGATTTCTGAAAACTTCTGAACTGTGTTAACAGGGCACTGCTTTTCGCCCCGAGACTATAGACAAGCAACACGGAACATATAATTTGTAATAAAATCAGATGGTCCTTTTATCTGACCAACTTAAATTTTTTTGGTAAATTACTGAAGGAAAATGTTTTTGACATAAACTTGTGGATATCTTCCCACTGTTTCTAGAGAAGACCAATCAGCATTCCAATAGTTGACTTGAGCAGGCGAAATCCCAAGCCATGGGGAGTTCGTTCATATTGTCATGAAAAACAGGAAAGTATATTGGAAATTGAAACATTGGAGGAAAACTTGAAAATAGAAAACCAATCCAGACTTTAAACCAACAAAAATCAGAAGACAAAAAAAAAAAGAAAGAAAGAAAGAAAGAAAACCAATTCAGAAAATGCCCATTTAATTGTAAACTTCACACCTTGAATTTAATTTTCCTATTGTCCAAGGTCACCAAAAAGTGGGTATACCAATAAACTTCAATTATTCAAGTAAGTCTCCATTCCTCCCTCCCTCTCTCCCTCCCTCCCCTGTCTCTCTCTTTTTTTTTTTTTTTTTTTTGACAGGGTTTCACTCTTTTGCACAGGCTGGAGTGTGGTGGCATGATCATGGCTCCCGAAGCCTCGACCTCCCTGGGCTCAGGTGATCCTCCCACCTCAGCCTCCTGAGCAGCTGGGACAACAGGCATGTGCCACCATGCCTGGCTAATTTTTGTATTTTTTTTGTAGAGACGGGGTTTCTCAAGGTTGCCCAGGCTGGTCTCCAATTCCTGGGCCCAAGGCATCTGCCTGCCTTTGGCCTCCCAAAGTGCTGGGATTACAGGTATGAGTCACCATGCCCAGCCCTACGTAAGCATTCTTTTAAAACTTACCTACACAGAGTAAGTGAATTAGAGCCCAAAAATATCCATCTGGATCAAACTAGAACACAGAATTTAAAAAAAGAAAAAATGGTTATAAGTACAAGCAAACATGATCCAGTGTGGTCATCAGAAACCCTGTCAGCACCACAGTGCCAAGTGAGGGTCCCAAAACAGGACTCCTGGGGCCTTTCGTCAGTTCGTCGGTTCCCTCTTGTTCCTCACCCGGTTGCCCACAACATCTTCTTAACAGGACACTGCCTCAACACCCCATGCCCCATACTGCCATCCCACTGTGTTCAAATCCAATCTCACGATACCCTAAGACCTTTGTGACAAGCCCCCATCCACCCCTCTGTTGTATGTACAGCCCCCTGCTGTCCCATGTACAGCCCCCTGCTGTCCCTGAACAAGGATAACTTGCATTTTCCAAGCATGACTGCTGCCCCCTCGAACTCAGCTGAGGGGACCCTCTACCTCTTCTCTTATTATTCTCCATGGGACTTCGCATCATAGGACACATCCTATTTATTTCTTCCTTATTCATTTATCTGTCTCTATCTCCCCCTGCCCTCCCCTCTCCTAGATTGTACATTCCAGGGAGGCAGGAATTAGAACAGGGGTAGACACATAGCAGGTGTTCAATGAGGCTGGATCGCAGGATACTCATGACACTCCAGGACTGCCCTCACCTGCTTTCTTCTCCTGGCTAACTCCTCCTCATTCTTCCAGATTTAAGTCCTGCAAGCAGAGGCTGGCTCTAACATCAGAGAGATCTGCAATAAATTCTAAAATCCCCACTTATGTTAGCTGGTAACCTTGTAGGCCTCCTTATTCTATGCTATGAAATGGAGATAATAATGCTCCCACCCTTACAGAAATGTTATGAGATTTTAAATAACATAAGGCACAGAAAGCACTGGCACAGAGCCTGGCACACAGCAGGACCCTTTCATTGTGGTTACTCCTACTTCTCGAGGCCCCATGTCTTCTTAGGTGCTTCAGAGCCTCCTGTACCCCTGGCCTTCCTGTGTGATAATGATCTATTATCACAAATAGACTTGACTTGTGTCTGAGCAAAGATTAATTTTCCTGTTTGTGTCCCCAGACCCTGGCTCAGGGCCTGACACTTGATGGGGACCTAATAATGCTGGGGGAGAAAAGGAAGGAGAAGAAAGAAAGAAAGAAAGAAAAGAAAATAAAGAAAAGGAAGGAAGAAAGGAAGGAAACCCAGAAATAAGATGACTACTGGGGGTGAGGGTGGGTCCTCAGCACCTCATAAAGAAAATTCAACTTTAGCACAGGATAATAAAATAAAAATCGTTCTGCAGGCTGGGTGCAGTGGCTCACACCTGTAATACCAGCATCTTGGGAGGCTGAGGCAGGCGAATCACTTAAGGTCAGGAGTTCAAGAACAGCCTGGCCAAAATTGCGAAACCTCGTCTCTACTAAAATTACAAAAAATTAGGCTGGGTGCAGTGGCTCATGCCTGTAATCCCAGCACTTTGGGAGGCTGAGGCAGGTGGATCACCTGAAGTCAGGAGTTCGAGACCAGCCTGACCAACATGGAGAAACCCCATCTCTATTAAAAATACAAAATTAGCTGGGCATGGTGGCTCATGCCTGTAATCCCGGCTACTTGGGAGGCGGAGGCAGGAGAATTGCTTGAACCTGGGAAGCGGAGGTTGTGGTGAGCCAAGATCACATAATTGCACTCCAGCCTGGGCAACAAGAGTGAAATTCCGTCTCAGAAAAAAAAATACAGAAAATTAGTCAAGTGTGATGGTGGGTGCCTGTAATCCCAGCTACTCAGGAGGCTGAGGCAGGAGAATTGCTAGAACCCGGAGGGTGAAGGTTGCAGTGAGCTGATATCTCGCCACTGTACTCCAGCCTGGGCAATAGAGTGAGAATCTGTCTCAAAACAAAAAAAAAAAAAAAAAAAAAGACAAAAATCACTTTGCAGGAGATGAGGCCCTTGGGAGGAGAGGAAGTCAACTTTGCCTCCATACCTGAGGCTGGGGTAACTTGGGCGTTGGCTTGCAGGTTCACCAGGCATGGACAGAGGACAGATGGCAGGCACCACAGTGCCCAGGGGCCAGAGCTCTGCGATCACGATGGCTGCAGCCTTGAGGAGAAGGCAAAAGCCCAGGGAGAAGGTGTTGCCTGGGCCCAAGGCTATCCAGCCTGAAAGCTTTAGAATGCTTCCGCATAGGCCAGGTTACCCTGCTTCTACAAGGAAAGACTAGGAAATTCTGGTCAGACACCCAGGCTTCAGAGAATAAAAGACACTTTGAAGGCAAAATGAGTTCACCTGGACTTACCTGGGAGTCATTGAAGGGAAGGCATCCTGCTGCGGCCAGGAGGAAAAGGGCACTGTGGAGAGGGAGAAAAAACACCGCAGCTTCACCTTTCAACATCAAAGGTTTCCCCAAGGGGGTGGAGGTGAAATGCATCCTCTGGAGTGTGGATGAGCCACAGATCCTGCCAGACCAACTTGGTTCCTCTGTCCCTCCTCTGTGAACCTGATACCAGTGTAGTTTTCAGTTATGTGCTCTACTCATAAGCAGGCATTTCCTTCTCTGGACCTCAGCTAGCCATTTCCCAGAGTCGGGCATTTACAGGACATCTGCAAAACCACAGCTGCCTCACTCGAGGAAAACCGTGTGCCTGTGAAACATCTAATAAAACAAGCGTTTTTTTCAACTTCAGATCCCCAAAAATATACAAGTCAAAAACTGGGGAATCAGACCATAAATATGCCAATTTCAAAAAATGAAAACACTATGGAAATCACATTAAAATCCTTTGTGCACCCCCACAACCAAACGATCAAACTTACTACCACCAGTAATGAGGCAGATAGATCCACACTGTGTGCCTCTTGATATAAAACTCAGAAGGATACAACATGACTCGGGTGGTATTCCTGTCAAACATGTGGAGCGTGGATTGAACCACGAGGAGACACTGAAACAAACCAAACTTAGGGACAGTTCAGAAAACAACAGGCCTCCCCTATTCAAAAATGTGAAGGCAATGAAAGATAATAAAGAGCTGAGGAACTGTTCCAGATTAAAGGGTACAAAAGAGAGATAACATCTTTTTTTTTTTTTTTTATAGATGGAGTTTCGCTCTTGTTGCCCAGGCTGGAGTGCAATGGCATGATCTCAGCTCACTGCAACCTCCGCCTCCCAGGTTCAAGTGATTCTCCTGCCTCAGCCTCCCAAGTAGCTGGGATTATAGGCATACCACCATCCCTGGCTAATTTTGTATTTATAATAGAGATAGAGTTTCTCCATGTCACCATGCCTGGCCTAGATATCGTTAGGGGAAAAAAATGATATAAAAAATAATATTGTGCCAGTGCAGTGGCTCACACCTGTAATCCCAGCACTTTAGGAGGCCAAGGCAGGCAGATCACTTGAGTTCAGGAGTTCGAGCCCAGCCTGGCCAATATGGTGAAACCCCATTTCTACTAAAAAGACAAAAATTAGCTAGGAGTGGTGGCACATGCCTATAGTTCCAGCTACTCAGGAGGCTGAGGCAGGAGAATCATTTGAACCTGGGAGACGAAGGTTACAGGGTGCCAAGATGGCGCCACTGCACTCCAGACTGGGTACCAGAGTGAGACTCCATCTCAAAAAAAAAAAAAGATACTATTGTGATAACTGGCAAAATTTGAACATGGATTCAATACTAAATAATAATATCAGATCAGACGTTATTTTCTACATTCAATAATTGCACTTTGGGTATCTAAGGGATTGTTTTTAGGAGACACAGTTTGAGGTAGTTGGGAGTAGATTCATGACCTCTACAACTTATTCTCAAATAATTCAGAAAAAATAAGAGCAAGAATAATACCTACATTATCATATGTTTAATGTGATATTTATATGTGTGTGTGTGTGTGTGTATACACACATTGAGGTAGCAAGAAAGCAAATGCAAAAAATGTTACCAATGGGTGAATCTAGGTGAAGAATGCATGGGAGTTCACTGGAATATTCTTGCTACCTTTCCGTAGGTTTAAAGTTCCCCTTGTAAAACATTTTATTAGAAAAATCTCTTATACATACTAAAATATTCACAGATGAAATACTAAGATGCCTGGAATAAATACTGAAGCAAGGCAGTGGGTGGGGCCAGAAGCTGAAAATGGCTAAAGCTGGGCACTGGGTGCACAGGACTTCATTCATGACATTATTCTGTTTACTCTGATATATATTTAGAAATTTCCACAATAAAGCAATTTTCGAAAATTCTTGCACAGAAAGTAACATTGCCAAACCCAGATATTTTCAGGAAGCGATCCTCACTCATTAGAAAGTCAACTTGGAGCTGGTTCAGTAATCCCTGGTTTACAGCCTATTCCTTCTGAGTTTCATATGCCAAAAGCTCTTGCCTCTAGCTTTCCCCACCCTCTCTTTGTAAAAGAAGGCACCAGAAAGCACAAAACCCAAATTATCACTTAGTCTCTCTCCTCTTTCCATTTTATAGAGGCAACATATATATAGTGTCCCTTGACTACTGACTATTCCATCAGGCAGCATACACAAAAGATCAAAGGCATGAAAGAAAGCACCGAATACAATGTTTTCACTCTCAGGGAAGTTTGCCATATGTCACCTTCTACCAACATATATTCTGCATTCTACATAGAGACTACATGTTTTTTATATGCACACATAGACATATATATGTAACACACAACAACTCATGTGTAATCTTAGTAAACTGAAAACAGGGATGCTGATCAATTCTGACAGTCCTCATTGCTGTAACCATGTGTAGTTGTCCAGTGTACCCAACGGACCAGCACTGACTGGCTGGGCCAGGGGCAGGAGGACTAGAAGAGGGACCCTCAGAGCTGGGGCCCCACAGCCTTGGGAAGGTCAGGACAACATGTGGCAGCCTGAGGCTCAGGACACTCCTCTACCCCAGCCCGCCCACTCCTATAGCCTTGCTGTCTTCCAAGGTACCCCAACACACAAATGACCTAGAGAAGAATCCAAAGCAAAAGTGGGGTAAGAGGAGGGAAGACTGTCATGGGAGCTTCCTGGGCCTGCCTAGGAAAAGACAGGTTTTAGGGTGGGAGGAGAAGAGAATCCTGATGGGTTTGGTGTCTACCTATAGTTAAAGGCTTTAGAGAAGAGGATGCTTCCCCATCTATGGGGAAGGAGCATCAGAGATCCCCCCAAACAGATAACCTCTTGAGGTTGTGGAAGACGAGGGATGCCCAAGGGTGAGACAGCTGCCTGCCTTCCCTCCCAAGCAGCACCTGATTGAATCAGGTATTATGAGCTTTACTGCCTCTCTTTGACAGCTGCTAATCTCCTTTTAAGCAGGAGGGTAAGTCCTGAAGTTTGATTTTGTCTTGTTCTTTCAAGGTGCAACCTGTAATAAAGGAATAAAAGGAGGGTGGGGGATTGGATGAAAGCCCAGAAATATCTGCAGCAGAAATCCTAAATCCACCTATCAAAGCACCTCTGTTGGTTTTCTGTCTCCAGAACTCAGCTGCTTGGCCTGCAGAGGAAGCGGGAAGCAGTCAGATGCAAGGCACCCAGGTTACAATTCCAATGCTGCAGGCACCAGGGTCTGCAGGAGAAAACAGCCTGGTTTACGCTCCAGCTGAGGAAACTGAGGCACAGAGGACGAGGAAAGCTGCCCGTGATCACCCTGCTATGGCCCAGGACTGCAGTTCAGACCCAAGGACTCCCAGGCTGGTGCTTCTTCCACCACGGAAAATATTAAAGACCAAATAGACTATAAACATTACTTTTAAATTTTGAAGTCGTTTCCATGTTTTTCATTTTCATTCTCCATCACTATCACACAACTATTAGTAAGGTTTTGGGCATCAATGACTGAAATCTAGCCCAGGTTGGTTCCAATACTTTCTCTTTTGAAATAAAATATTTCAGAAAGAAAAGAGAAACACAGGAAATTTTAGACTAAGACACAAATTAGAGATACAGGAATGATTGTAATAAATTATTCTGCCACCTTCCACAGTGTGAATCTTCAACAGTTCATCATCCAAGTTGAAATTAGGTTAAATCTTTTTTTTTTTTTTTTTTGAGACAGAGTCTTGCTCTGTCGCCAGGAGCCAGGCTGGAGTGCAGTGGGGCAATCTCAGCTCACTGCAATCTCTGCCTCCTGGGTTCAAGCAATTCTCCTGCCTCAGCCTCCCGAGTAGCTGAGACTACAGGCGCACGCCACCAAGCCCAGCTAATTTTTGTATTTTTTAGTAGAGACGGGGTTTCACCATGTTGGCCAGGATGGTCTTGATCTCTTGACCTTGTGATCCACCCTCCTTGGCCTCCCAAAGTGCTGGGATTACAAGCGTAAGCCACCGCACCTGGCTGGTTAAATTTTATATTAGGGCTTTTTGCGGAGAGGACAGTAAACTTACCTACAGATCTTTGCAGGAGATGTTTTCTGTATAAAAATAAAGAAACATACCATTAGACTTCTAAAACTTTTAAAATTCCTCTTAAAAGGAAACACTTTGATCAAGAGGCAAACAAATTATGAGTCGATTTATCAAGGGCTTAACAGCTTGCTGCACTTTAGTATTTACTGAGGCTTTTTCTGCTTGGACCAAATGAAGGATGACTCAAAATTCCAAGTTGAGTCACTTCAGCAAAGTACTTTCACCATCAGAATGATGTTTACTCGTGAAAAACAAAATGACACTGGGGCCCTGTCTTCAAAAATCTTACACATTAAGATGTGGAGAGAGAAAGAAATAGATGAAACCTGTATTTTAAAAAGTAATTAAGCCCTTGTTCTCTCTCTCTCATCTATCTATCTGTCTGTCTGTCTGTCTGTCTGTCTATCTATCTATCTACCTATCTAATCTCACTCTGTTGCCCTGGCTGGAGTGCAGTGACATGATCATTGTAACCTCAAACTCCTGGGCTCAAGCAATCCTCCCACCTCAGCCTCCTGAGTAGCTAGGACTACAGGCATGCACCACCATGTATGGCTAATCTTTTTGTTTGTTTGTTTTTAATTTTTGTAGCAGCAGGATCTCGCTATGTTGCCAAGTGGTATTGAATTCCTGGCCTCAAGTGATTCTCCTGCCTCATCCTCCTAAAGCACTGGGATTACAGGCATGAGCCACTGCACCCAATCTCAACTTCTATTCTAGTTCTGTCTCTTTAAATATTCCATTCACGAATCCAGCTGACTCTGAGCAGTCCTAAAAACTATCTGGTGTGATATGAAAATTAAAAAACAGAGAAGGGACATTTTGCTCCACCCCAAGAGAAAAGGGGAAAAAAAGGTGGGCTGGGGAAATACAAACTTGGCATTTGAACTACCTGAAATGAAGAAATCCTGCTTTGGACTCTACCCTTATCAACTCCTTTTGATGAGTCCGTTTAAGGAAATCAGGTCTTTGTACTGAGAAGTAATTTGTACATGTTAACAGAGAGTAACACATTAGCAGAGGGTAACACAGATTTTTCTATATTTGATAGAGGAAACAAACAGGTACGATTAATCTTTTGATTAATTCTAAGCACTTCAGCAAGATTATTCTGCTAGTTGGGAACAAACTACAATTTTTGATGCCAGTTCAGGCAGTGTGAAGTATAAACATCTTGTTTAGAAGTAAAGCACTGACAAGAGAAAATGCGGCTCACTACAAAGGCTACCTTCAGTTTTCATGTGTGCCGAAACAATCAAGTTTCCCCTGATTCAATGAACAGATTCTATTTGTGTACAAAGCTGTGGCTTGCATCTTTAAACTCTAATCTTGACCTTGGTCCAACCCTACCTCTGCAGAGCACAGAACACGAGGCCAACCGTGCTGTACTGCCACCTGCTGGGAGGTTTGCCCTTAAGAACCAAAAGGAGGAGGGCAAAGGTGATTTGGCTAACACCTGCATCACTGCCCCCATACAGTAAATGTGTTATTAAAAAACTTTTTTTTTTTTTTTTGAGACAGAGTCTTGCTCTGTCACCCAGGCTCCTCTGCCTCCTGGGTTCAAGCGATTCTCCTGCCTCAGCCTCCAAGTAGCTGGGATTACAGGTGTGCACCACCACACCCAGCTAATTTTTATATTTTTTGTGGAGACGAGGTTTTGCCATGTTGGCCAGGCTGGTCTCGAACTCATGGCCTCAAGTGATCTGCCCACCTTGGCCTTCCAAAGTGCTGGGATTACAGGCGTGAGCCATCACGCCCAGCAGTTACTCAAAAATTGAGCTAAACATAACCAAAACCTCAATAGCCTGGTGTAAGAGCAGAAATGGAGAGGAGGGACTAAAGGGATGCTCTTCCCCTTCCATGAATAGCAATGTTCACCCAGGAACTTCCAGGGCTAACGTTTCAGGCCAAAAGAGCCGGCCCCTTCCATGGAGGGGAGTAAAACGGCACAGATCTTGAGATACAGAGAGTAAAAACAGGCAATATGTTCATTACTTAGCTCCTTCTCCCAGGGTTCCGGATATGGCTGAGTCCATGGCAGGCATTTTCCTTTTCAGGATCCTCAGTCCAAAATAATCTAGCAACAAGTCCTACTGAAGTCTCAGGGTTTAGAATGGGTTAATGTAACTCCTCAAAAGTCATGCTGCCAAAGGGCCAGGCATGGTGGTTCATGCCTGTAATCCCAGCACTTTGGGAGGCTGAGGCAGGCAGATCACTTGAGGTCAGGTGTTCAAGACCAGCCTGGCTAACATGGCAAAATCCCATGTCTACTAAAAACACCAAAAATTAGCCAGGCATGGTGGTGCATGCCTGTAATCTCAACTACTTGTGAGGCTGAGGCAGGAAAATCGCTTGAACCGGGAGGTGGGGATGCAGTGAGTGGAGATCGCACCACTGCACTCCAGCCTGGGCGACAGGGCGAGGCTCTGTCTCAAAAAAAAAAAAAGTCGTGCTGCCAAAATTAACAATAGATAGCTGACATTCCTCTGAGTTAACTAGCTGAACTGCGAGGGCTACTCACTCTGCCAGGTGTGGTTCTAAGGGCTCTACATGGATTGAATCGTTTAATCCTGGGGTAAGTAACAGTCATGGGTTCTATGATACAGAGGAGGATAGTGGAGGCACTGAGGAATGAGGGAAGCTGCCCACCGCCTGCCTGCCAGTCCTGCAGTGTCACCCCTGCTGGCCTCCTTAGCCACCACTTGATGCCCCCTCTGCCTGCCTGACAAGGAGAGCCCTTTCTCCCTGTCAAACTGCAAAGTCCCTTCCCATCCTCCCTGACTCAGCTCAAATCTCACCACTAGGGAAGCTTTCCTTGCTCCTCCCATGCCGACTTACTGGAGCTCACCTGCTGGCCCACCCATGCCCTGTTCCAGCCCAAGTGTACAGGCCAGCCCCTCCATTCAACTCTGGGTTAAGGCTAAGAAATGCATCTCCTGGGGCCCAGCGCAGTGGTTCACGCCTGTAATCCCAGCACTTTGGGAGGCCAAGGCAGGCAGATCACAAGGTCAAGAGATCAAGACCATCCTGGCTAACACTGTGAAACCCCGCCTCTACTAAAAATACAAAAAATTAGCCAGGTGTGGTGGCACGCACCTATGGTTCCAGCTACTCAGGAGGCTGAGGTAGGAGAATCGCTTGGACCCGGGAGGCGGAGGTCGCGGCGAGCGGAGATTGCGCCACTGCACTCCAGCCTGGGCGACTTAGTGAGACATCGTCTCAAAAAAAAAGAAGAAATGTGTCTCCTATATCTCTGCAGCTTTAGGCCTAGCAAAATGTTTGACATTTCATAGGTACTTGACAAATGCTGAACAAATGAATAAACAAATAGGAGTATTCTAATATTAAACTGTAATAAATAAGTCTGCAAGGTAGTTAAATTAATTCCTCTAGCCATGCATCGCCTTACAGTCAAACTGTATGTGTGTGTGTGCATGAATACACAAAGACCTTGTTGTGGATGGTGAAAATGAACTCTACGGGTCCAGATAGTTTACTTTCATAATCTGGGAATGAAGTCTCAAGGAGGTCAACTTTTACTCTCCAAAACTGATTCCAGTAAAATCTACACCCAGTAGACAAAATACTACTAGTTGTAACATTTAACAGTCTTTGAGGTGGCGTCAAGTGTGTTCCTGATGATAAGGGATTACTTCATCAAGGCTCCTAGCTGTATCATCAAGAACATATCACAGCAGCATCATGGAGCAGATTTTAACCCTAAACTGCTAAAAACCACCTACAATTCTATAAATAGGGAATGGCCAACACACGTTTCAACCAATGTGGATGACAGCCTGAAGAGGAATATCTGACAAACTGTAAAATGGAAAGACAGAATGTATCTTACATTCATGTAAATACATCCATATACGTGCATAGGAAAAAAGTCTGAAAGAATAGAGTGGTTTCAGCTGGGTGTGGTGGCTCACGCCTGTAATCATAGCACTTTGGGAGGCCGAGGCAGGCAGATCAGGAGGTCAGGAGTTCGAGACCAGCCTGACCAACACGGTGAAACCCCATCTCTACTAAAAATGCAAAAATTAGCCAGGCATGGTGGTGCCTATGACCCCAGCTACTTAGGAGGCTGAGGCAGGAGAATCACTTGAACCTGAGAGGCGGAGGTTGCAGTGAGCCAAGATCACACCACTGCCTTCAAGTCTGGCAATAGAGCAAGACTCCGTCTCACAAAAAAATAGAATCGTTTCTTCAGAGAAGTAGAAACAGTTGATTTCTGGGTTTTTAGAGTCAGGGTCTCACTTTTGCTGAGGCTGTTGCAGTGGCACAATCATGGCTTCCCACAGCCTCAAACTCCCGGCCTCAAGTGATCCTCCTGCCTTGGCCTCCCAAAGCTTTTAGATTACAGGCATGAGCCACTGTGCCTGGCCTCCCTCTGTATTTTCTACAACATCTTAAATCTTCTTAGACTTATAAAGGAGAGAACGGTTTAATAACTAAAAAAAAAAAAAAAAAAGTTACCCACTCACTTTTTTTCTAGTTTGTCCTGACAAGAAATGATGTTTTGTGTTAGTGATGAAATGAAGTTGAACATTCAATATCTTATGGTGTTCATTCAGTTATTTCCAAGGTCAGGGCCTCTCAGACAGACATTTGCCCTGCTCTCCAGAATGGAAGAGGTCCCCTGCTGGATGGAAACATCCCTAAAAGACTTTCTAACCCTGAGTCTTACAGTCACCCTCGTCTACAGGCTCTGACCTGCCCATCAGGAAGCAAAACCCTGTGCAGATGCCTTGATCTTGTCCCTAGACCAGGTAAATCTTCATTTCTAAATTCATAAGGAAGTATCCTGGGTGGGCATGGTAGCTCACGCCTGTAATCCTAGCACTCCAGAGGGCTGAGGAGGGCTAATCACGAGGTCAGGAGTTTGAAACTAGCCTGACCAACATGGAGAAACCCCATCTCTAGTAAAAATACAAAAAATTAGCTGGGCATGGTGGCAGACGCCTGTAATCCCAGCTATTTGGGAGGCTGAGGCAGAAGAATTACTTGAACCAAGGAGGTAGAAGTTGCAGTGAGTAGAGATCATGTCACTGCACTCCAGCCTGGTGACGACAGTGCAAGACTCTGTCTCAAAAAATAAAAAAGAAGAAAGAATCCCTTTGGAGAATATAAAGCCTTTCTGGAATTTGCACAGGTCAGGTTCCCAGGGCTAAGCAACTCTCAGAGAGGTTCTGCCCCTGAACCTCAGTGACCATTTAGTGATTCTTTAACTCAGTCCCAGGGCTCAGGGAAGCTGGCCTGAGACATGGGGAAAATAATGCAGTATCTCCCCTAAGACACCATTGATTGTAAAACTTCCACTTATTTTATGTACTAGAAAGAAAGAAAAAGAAACTACACCAGGTCACATCACTGATTTTAAGAGCTTTCCCACTGTAGATATTGGATGAAAATGTGAAAGGAAAGAAGCACATGCTAGAACTGATGGACTATGGAAACTGCATGATGGTGCTATAAGTCAAACGTCGGAGATAGGTGTCCATCCAGGGAACTCTCCAGCCGCAGAGACCAGCCCAAGTGCTGAGAGGCCTCCACCTCCCAGCCTTGGCGGTGGGACTGCCAAATAGAAAACCACAACTGTCTAAGCCCAGGGCTACTCACTCGAGGCCCTGCCCAAGGCTCAGGGGATCAAGTTCTTCTTCTTCAGTCCCGGCCAGGCAGCCTGGAGAAGATGAGGGTTGAACTAGGGTGGAGGAGGCACAGACTTGGTAACAGGCTGGATGTGGTGGGGAGGGGATACGAGGAGTCCCACGAGCCTCCTAGGTTTCTGACTTGAGGATGATGACCAGGATAGGAGCTACCAAGTGAAAAGCAGGTCTGGAGAAACAGATCAGTTTCATTTCAGATGCCTGGGGAGAACCACAGCACAGCAAGCCCCTGGGTGCTGCAGGGGAGCTGAGCTCAACAGTGAGGTCTGGGCTGGAGATGGAGACTTGCGGGTCCTCTATGAATAGAAGGTGGCTGGCGCGATGGTTGTGGACGAGATTTTCTAGAAAGTGTGTGGCATAAAGAAACAGCCCAGAGAGACCCTGAAGAGGCAGACAAAAAGGAAGAGAAAGACAGATTAAGGAAAAGCCCAAGACCCAGGAAGGGAACCAAGCAAGAAGTGGGCATGGAGGCCAAGGGGGCCCAGAGAGGCTGGGGAGAAAGGAGGGGGGGCAATCATGGAAACAGACATGATGAGTTGCACAGATGAAGCCGCCAGTGCCTAGCCGGGGCAGTCCAGTCTCAGGGGAATGGTGCGGGGGAAGCAGGAGCAACAGAAGGTGACAGGGACAAGAGGGCAGGGACAACACCAAGCGTGGCTCGTGCTTGGAAGGAGAGCCTACCCTCTCCTCAGTGCACTGGTACCACCAAGCATGTTTATGGGCCCAGAAAACTAAGCCAACAGCGAGAGAGAGGCTCACAGTATAGGAGAGAGGAGAGGTGACTGACAGAGCCACCTCCAAGGAGTGGTGGGATGACAGAGGGAGATCGGGTTTGGCCATGGGCTCCCTTCCTGCACACCTGTAAACATGTGGCCTGAGGTGGACAGCTGGCCTCTCTATAGTTTAGAAGTTCCAAAAATTGGGCAGGGTGTGATGTTTAACACCTGTAATTCCAACACTTTTGGGGGCTGACGCAGGAGGAGGATCATTTGAGCGTAGGAGTTGAAGAAAAGCCTAGGCAACATAGCAAGACCCTACTCTACAAATAAAAATTTAAAAGTAGCTGGGTACAGTGACTCATGCCTGTGGTCCCAGCTGCTCAGGAGGCTGGGCAGAAAGATCACCTGACACCAGGAATTTGAGGCTGCAGGGAGCTATCGGTGTGCCATTGCACTCGAGCCTGGGCAACAGAGCAACACCCTGTCTCCAAAATAAAAATAAATTGAAATGTTCCAAAAATTGGTATGAAGCCAAACTAGCAAATTCCAGGAAAAAAAAAACACTCCCAAAAGCAAGATCATATTAAAACCACCTCTAATAACATTACTAATCGTTGCTGATGTGCAGAACACCTACTGTGTGCCAAAACAGCTGGAAACACTCACTTAACAGGGGTAGTTGCTGAGTCCTTCAAAAAACAAGGACCGTGCAAGGTAGTAATAATGACACTGCCTTGTTCAAGCTGGTGTTATTATTACCACCTTGCACAGATGGAGGCCTGGAAGATGAAGGAGCTTGTTCTAGCTGGTATGAGGTATAGCTGGGATTGCAGAGAAAAGCAAATTTCCCTGGGCTGGGCTAGTGCCGCACTACCCTGTGTGAAAATGTGTTACACCTTGTCCTGTGGTGCTGGATTGGCTGGGGACGGGAATGCTTCCCCACCAGGCCCACGGCAAACTCTAGTCTCCCAAGGGTCTGGGTCAGCCTGCCCTGGAGATGAGCTCTGTTCCCATCAACAATATTCCCACATATGTCTGGTGAATTGCAGCAAAGTCCAAACTGTGTCCCATGATATCAGTGACCACTGTCAGGCAGTCTTTCCTGGAGACTGGTGGCAGGAAAAGGCAGACACTAATCTGGACCATAAAAAGAAAAGTGCTTCTTTGAAATTTGAAACAAGGAAGTAACACTAGCATTTTGCATGATCGTTTACCTCTTTCCGAAAACACTTCTGGTACCCACAGATGATAACTTCAGCTACATTATGCAAAGTGAGAAACACAGGAATGGCCTGAAAGAAAACAGAACAAGAAGCATAAAAATATTTTCTTCAATCTCATAACCACGTGGTTCTTGGTTTTTTGCTTAAAAATAATGAGCTGTGGAAACTTTTGGCATTCACATTTATAATCACTCCAGCAAAGACTTCTGCGTGGATTAGCGCCCTTTGCGGCAGTATTTCTCTCGGTGGGTGGATGCAAAGGTTCCCCTCCTATAGGCATTCTCATCAACAAACAGGTAAGTCTCCTGTGTGTCAGGCACTGTGTCAGGTGCAGGGAACACATCCCATGAAAGGTGGACACGGCCCCTCAGGTGAGAGCTCAGAGGGGGCAAGCAGAAAAGTGCGCCCAGCCCAGCACGCGGAGAGCAAGCTTTCTTGGAGGAAGAAAGGCCAAGAAAACTTGGACTTCAAAGGGAAGTGAAGGAATGAGAACTGAATCATGAAGCGGCATGGGCCAAACAGAGTGAGGAGGTAGCAAAGTGTCACACCAAGGTCTGGAGAAGCGGATCCAGCTTCTCTGGGGAACGGGAAGAAGTGGGGCACGGTGGTCCACAATGAGGAAGAGAGGAGCAAGGGACAGAAAGATAGAGAGGTATTCCCAGGACACACTGGGAAAAAGGATGGTTCTGAGGGCCCCCAGAACCAGTGAGGAGTTTGAAAGCTGACCATGACATGATCTGCATGTTTAGAGGAACTCAGACTGCAGGGTGGAGGGCAGGAGGCAGAGTGGGCTGCAAAAGTCTAGGGGTGCCATAGGATGAAAAATGGCCCCCTAAAAGACATCCACATCCCAATCCCTGGGACCTGTGAATTTTGTCTGATATGGCAATAAGAGGTCTTTGCAAATGTGAGTAAATTGAAGATCTTGAGACAGGCAGATTCTCCTGGATTACTGGGTGATCCCTAAATGCAATCACACGTATCCTTATAAGAGGAGGCAGGGATGTGACAAGCACAGAGGAGGGGCAATGTGACCACAGAGGCAGACAGTGGAGTGATGGAGCCACAAGCTGGGCAATGCCGTGGCCACCGGAAGCTGAAAGAGGCAAGGAACAGACCCTCACCTAGAGGCTCAGGACCGGGCGAAGCCCTGCCCACACCTTGATTTCAGACTTCTGGCCTCCAGAACTGTGAGGGATACATTTCTGTCATTTTAAGTCACCCAAGTATGTGGTAATTTATCACAGTAGCCCCAGAAACTAACACACGGAAGGACAGGATGGTGACCTAAACTTGGTAGTGGCAGTGAAGATGGAGGAAAGGGGCCACATCGAAGAAATATTTAGTAATGTTTCAGTAATTTAGAACTGAAGCAAATGTTTGAATAACTGGATAAACTCTCACAAAAGAAATGGGAGGAGAAAATATAAAAAATGTAACAGCGTATTATTATGTACACTTCACATTTCCCATTGCTGGGACATTTGTTAAGAGTGGCATTCTCTCCTAATGGATAGGTAACCTTGACAGGGTAAGGGGGAAGAATGAGGAGGAGAGGAATTCTGTTGTTTTAGGTTTTTGTTTGTTTTTGTTTTTGTCTTTTTTGAGACAGAGTCTTACTCTGTTGCCGGGGCTGGAGCGCACACAGTGGCGCCATCTTGGCTCACTACTACCTCCCTCTCCCGGGTTGAAGCGGTTCTCCTGCCTCAGCCTCCCTAGTAGCTGGTACTACAGGTGCCTGCCAGAACTCCTGGCTTATTTTCGTATTTTTTTAGTAGAATCAGGTTTCGCCATGTTGGCCAGACTGGTCTTGAACTCTTGGCCTCAAGTGATCCACCTGCCTCGGCCTCCCAAAGTGCTGGGATGACAGGCATGAGCCACTGCCCCTGGCCTATTATCTTTCTTGTTGATAATGATACCAATGCTTCCTGGAAGGCAAAAAATAAGAATAAGAACACCGGTTTTATCATCACTCTGGGCTCCAGCTCCACCACCTGCTAGTGGGGCAAGGTATGCATCCAAACTTGTGTTTCCTCCTCTGTAAAGCAGGGATAACAATACCCCATAGCTTGGAGCTGCCAAGTGGGATGACCCAAATACTACAGGTTAAGGACCTTAATGAATGGCTCAGGAGGACTGCACAAAGGGTGTCAATATCACTAACTGGTAGCCCACCCTCAGCAGGCTCTGCAGAGGATCAGCTTGGGTAAATTGCTCCCATTTAGAGGACCTGCTTCAAAATTATGCTGCTCTCCTACTTTCAGATAAATTTATTCTTTATCTTTGTGGAGGACATATTTTCACCTTGTTTTTAAAACTTCTATGGCTTTATATAGCTGTGCCATTTTAGTAATCTGTTCTAACTCACACTGTTTCATTTCTGAGCTCTTGCCTTACATTTTTCTTACCTTTTTAAAAAAACATTTTCTATTTTTATCTTTCATTAAAAGTTCAACTCAAGGCCGGGCACGGTGGCTCAAGCCTGTAATCTCAGCACTTTGGGAGGCCGAGGCAGGTGGATCACGAGGTCAAGAGATCAAGACCATCCTGGTCAACATGGTGAAACCCCGTCACTACTAAAAATACAAAAAATTAGCTGGGCATGGTGGTGCGTGCCTGTAATCCCAGCTACTCCGGAGGCTGAGGCAGGAGAATTGCCTGATCCCAGGAGGCGGAGGTTGCGGTGAGCCGAGATCTCGCCATTGCACTCCAGCCTGGGTAACAAGAGCAAAACTCCGTCTCAAAAAAAAAAAAAAAAAAAAGTTCAACTCAAATTGTTTTTTTCTTTTAAAATGAAACTATTTTAGTTTCTATTTTTTTCATTTATTTTTGTGTTTCTTTTTATGCCTCTTAAATTTTTAGATTGTAAGTTATTTTTTATGTCTATTAAGATTATTAAAGAGATATATATTTTAAAGTGTGGCTTTCTGCAATAGGCCCATGTTTGCCAGACTTGGGTCCTGGTCTTCCAATTCTTGGCTTGAAAGGACAGCAAAAAAAAAATCTTGGACAGGTTAATCACATGACACATGAAAGCTAATATTAAAGTGGGGCTGGATCTGATCCAATTAAGACCTTATGTAAATGTTCTTTTCTTCCTTGGCTATAAAATCAGTAACGAGATCAGATTTAGAACTGAGATTACGGAATTCTAGGCCCAACTTTAGACTTCAAGGAGGCTTAATTTTCTCAATTATAGGACCTGGAGGCTGTTTTCTCAATCTTCCTAGGTCCTTACTCTGATCAGATTCTAGAAAAGGAACTATTTATACATGTAGAATTCATTTTAAAGTACACTAACAATAGCCACCAACAATGTGTTAAACATAGTGCTAAGTGTTTTATGTGTATTCCCTTATTTAAACCTCCTCCCAGCACCTCTCTTAGTAGACGCTACTACCTTGATTTTATAAACAAGAAAAATGGGGCTGAGAAAGACTGGCCACTTGCTTGAGTATTCACAGCTGGTTCAGCGGCAAAGCCATGACCCCAATCCAGGCCTGTCTAACTGCAAAGCCCACACCTTCTAGCCCTGGTGTTATGACACCCAAATTATGTCAAGCCGCAGTGAAAACTTCCTAGACCTCCAACTGTCCAAAGTTCAATATGACTGGTGTATTCCAAATCCTGGCCATCCACTTACACCAGTAATAGACCTACTGATATGGTTTGGCTCTGTGTCCCCACCCAAATCTCATGTCAAATTGTAATTCCCAATGCTGGGAGAAGGACCTGGTGGGAGGCGATTAAATCATGGGGGTGGATATCCCCCTTGCTGTTCTTGTGATTGTGGTTCTCATAAGATCTGGGTGTGTAAAAGTGTATGGCTCGTCCCACTTCATTCTCCCTCTCTCCTGCTCCGCCGTGGTAAGAGGTGCTTGCTTACCCTTCACCTTCTGCCATGATTCTAAGTTTCTTGAGGCCTTCCTGCCCCGATTCCTGATCAGCCTGCAGAACTGTGAGTCAATTAAACATCTTTTCTTCATAAATTACCCAGACAGGTAGTTCTGTTTTGTTTGTTTTTGAGATAGAGTCTTGCTCTGTTGCCTAGGCTGGAGTGCAGTGGTGCCACCTTGGCTCATTGCAACCTCCACCTCCTGGGTTCAAGTGATTCTCCTGCCTCAACCTCCCAAGTAGCTGGGACTACAGGTGCCTGCTATGACACCCAGTTAATTTTTGTATTTTTAGTAAAAACAAGGTTTCACCACATTGGCCAGGTTGGTCTCGAACTTCTGATCTCAAGTGATCTGCCAGCCTCAGCCTCCCAAAGTGCTGGGATTATAGGCTGGGCCACCATGCCTGGCCAGTCAGGTATTTCTTTATAGCACTGTGAAAATGGACTAACACATCTGGTAAGAACTAAAATGGATGAACTCAGAATAAACCTATACCTTTTTTAAAAAGGCTTTCTTCTACTCCCACTTAACAAATTTTAAATCTATTTTCTCAAGCCATTTTTTCTACTGAGAAGCAAACAGACTTTAAAGACCATTATTGTACAGTTGACCAGTTACACTCTATCAGCCTGTGTAGGGCTCTATCAAAAACATTATTGGGCCAGGCATGGTGGTGGCTCATGCACGTAATCCCAGCACTTTGGGAGGACAAGGCAGGCGGATCATGAAGTCAGGAGTTTGTATTCAGCCTGACCAACATGGTGAAACGCCGTCTCTATTAAAAATGCAAAATAAACAGCCAGGCGTGGTGGCATATGCCTGTAATCCCAGCTACTTGGGAGACTGAGGCAGGGGAATTGCTTGAACCAAGGAGGCGGAGGTTGCAGTGACCAAGATCAAGCCACTGTACTCTAGCCTGGGTGACAGGGTGAGACTCCATCTCAAAAAAAAAAAAAAAAAAAAAAAAAAATATATATATATATATATATATATAAAGACAGTTTGCAATTTTTTTTTTTTTTTTTTTGAGACAGAGTCTCATTCTGTTGTCCAGACTGGAGTCCAATGGTGCTTTCTTGGCTCACTGCAACCTCCGCCTGCCAGGTTCAAGCGATTCTCCTGCCCCAACCTCCCAAATAGCTGGGATTACAGGCATGTGCTACAATGCCCAGC